TGCAACAAACCCTCTTGAGATCAGAGAAATCAAAGTTTTATTTTTTTGTTTTTGTTTTTTTGGTGTTTTTTTTTTTTTTTAGCAATCATTGGGTGCTGCGTTCTCTGGACTAAACAGTAGAGGGACCTTTTAGCTTATCAGAGCTCAGTTCAAAAGCCTGGATCTCTGATGGTATTGGGGAGCATTAGGGTGTGGAATGGGCAGCATGCACAACTGAAAAAGCACCATCAATGCTGACCAGGTTTTAGAGCAGCATATGCTGCCAAAGTATTTTTCATGGTAAGCCTTGCATATTTCAGCAGGGCAATGCTAAACCACATACTGCATCTATGACAGCAGCATGGCTTCATAGTAAATGAGTCTGGGTGATTAACTGGCCTACCTGAAATCCAGACCTTTCACCAAGTGCAAATATTTGGTGCATCATGAAACAAAAAATATAAGAAATAAGACCCAGCAATGTGTAGTAGTTAGAATCTTCTATCAGGCAAGAATGGGACATTTGTTTTTTCCAAACACCAGTAACTGGTCTCCTCAATTCAGATGTTAAAAGTAGAGGGGATGCTACACCGTAGTAAACATGACTCTGTCACAACGTTTTTGGGTTTTTTTCAAATGTATTGCCATCAATTTCAAAATTACTTTATTTCTTATACATTTTCTCAATTTAAACATTTGATATGTTTTACACTTTCTATTGTGAATAAAATATGGGTTCATAAGATTTGCAAATCATTGTGTTTCTATTTTTATGTTTTGAGAATTGGGGTTGTATATATATTTGGGTTTCGTTTTTCTTCTTAGGCCCTCTTAAGCAGTACAGCAAATGTGGAAAAGAATATGTACCTTCACAAATATCTAGCCCCGTAAAACAGGTTTTTTTTTTTATCTTGCCTTTTTATTAAACAGTTTTGTTTCAAAACAACACATGCTACCATATTGAAAACAGTCAGGTGTGTCCTCAGTTTGATGCTAGCCAAAAAAAGTGACATTTAACCTGATTACAAAATATCTACTTCAGATGCAAGAGAATTTACTTTTAGAAATGTTTAATACCATTAAAATAGATCTTAACTGTGATCACATAATGAAGTAAACTCAAGTTATTCCTCCAGTCAAATACTGTATAAATATACCATTGACGCATGGGCTCCAGGATTGCAGTTGTACTATCTTCCTTTAACTCACTTGCAGACACACGACACTAGAGCAGATGAAAGGAATGGTACTTGCTGTTTATTAGCTCTGATGAACTCTGCAACATTATCACGGGATTGATAACAGGAAAGGGCTCTTTTTTATTATTACTAAAGTACAGACGTATCAACAAAAGAAGTGGGCACATCACCAAGGCAACAAATGGATCGGCACAGAGCTGCAGCTATTATCTTGGTGAAAAAGGGCTCTTCAGGCAATATGGACTCATCACATAATAAATAAATAAATGGCACTATGGAACAAGGAATTCCCCTGCCCCCTCACAGGCATAAAAGAATCAAAACTTGTCAGATATTAGGATCAGTAAACCGCCACAGCCACTGGCAATCTAAGCTACATCAATTACACACCTGTTGTCGTTTTTTTTTTTTTTTTTTGCCATTTATTAGTCAGTAGAATGACCCTATTTTTAATTTGTGTTACTAGACAATAGCCCCGCAGACTACTACCCCATCTTTGTGTACATTATGAATGAACAAATGATGTTACTTCTACAACTGCACATTATTAATTAATAATAGAGGAATTGCTAAAATTGATCTTGCTATTCACTGTATACAATCTGGTGGCAATGTCTACATCAGTAGACATCACTACATATCAGTAGTAAAATACATACATGAATGATAATGGTGGTGCAAAATAACACCAGGGTCTACAAAACTAACAAATTTCCCTTTCCCTAACTCTGCAGCTAAATTATGTGAAAGATCTATTGCTATACTTTACAAAGGTACATGCAAATATTTTAGGAACCCATGGATATTTCCATAGTTGTCTATTGTGTGCAGAAATATATTCCCCTACTTTCCACAATTATTTTTTCTGATGAGAAACTCTAACCCATTAGTGACTAAGGGTAAAACAAATGTTGATGCCTGAACACAATTTTGCAACTTTGACATGTGCGATACCACATATGTGCATATTATTGTACATATCCATGGTACAGGGCAGAAACAATGGTGCACATTTTTTTTTTTTTTTTTTTTTTTATCTCTTTAATCCTATCTAAAACACACTAACTGATACAAATTACAAAAAAAAACAGATCTTGTACCCGATCACTGACCTAGATCAAACATTGATCTAGCTATTTTTTCTTTAATTTTTCTTTTAGGTTTTTACTTTTTTTTTTTTTTTTATTACACACACACTTTGTTTATTTACTTCTTTCTCCCTGCAAGGAGAGAGAGATGCAATGGATCTCTCCCTTCTTTCAGAAAGAAAGATAAAACGGGTGGGTAGTCTGTACTGTGACTGATCAGTGTGATAGTCAATTATAGGGACCTGGAGTCCTGGGTCCCTGTAATTTGTATGGAAAGCACAAAGACAGATACGCCTATATGCAGCCCCACGGATAAAGTTTCAATTCTGTGAGGCATCATGCATACTGTCGGCTGGAAGGGGTAAATTAAGGCACTGCATGGATTTCAGCTTCTTCTCCTTTTAACCCCTTCTCTCTGTCCTATAGCAGACATACTGCTATAGAGCGGCAGGGGTACGTAAAATCACGTGTGTGTGTGTGATTTTGATTTTGCGCACACACCCTATCCGCACCGCCATTCGCGGCCTCGGCTGTCAATCAACAGGTCCCGGCTGGTGATCACAGAGAATTACTGACGGAGGGAGAGAACTGTATGTAAACTATACAGTTTTCTCCCCTGTTAGCTCATGCACACTGCTTTGTATGGCTCTGCAGTCTTACTTTGACCTGGAATGCTTGGATCTGGTCCTGACACATCCCAAGCAAATATTTCTCCCAGAAAAATTATTTAAGACCACATACAGTGGCTATAAAAGGTCAACACACACCTGGTAAAATGTCAGGTTTCTGTGATGTAAAAAATATGAGACAAAGATAAATAATTTCCGAATGTTTTCCACCTTTTAATGTGACCTATAAACTGTACAACTTCGTTAAACAACAAACTGAAATCTTTTAGGTGGAGGGAAGTAAAAATAAAAAACTAAAAATAATATGGTTGCATAAGTCTACACACCCTTTAACTAATACATTGTTGAAGCACCTTTTGATTTTATTACAGCACTCAGTGTTTTTGAGTATGAGTCTATCAGCATGGCACATCTTGACTTGGCAATATTTGCACACTCTTCCTTGCAAAAACACTCCAAATCTGTCAGATTGCGAGGGCATCTTCTGTGCACAGCCCTCTTCAGATCACCCTACAGATTTTCGATCGGATTCAGGTCTGGGCTCTGGGTGGGCCATTCCAAAACTTTAATCTTCTTCTGGTGAAGCCATTCCTTTGTTGATTTGGGTGTATGCTTTGGGTCCTTGTCATGCTGAAAGATGAAGTTCCTTTTCATGTTCAGCTTTCTAGCAGAAGCCTGAAGGTTTTGTGCCAATATTGACTGGTATTTGAAACTTCATAATTACATAGACCTTGACGAAGGCCCCAGTTCTAGCTGAAGAACAGCCCCAAAGCATGATGCTGCCACCACCATGCTTCACTGTTGCTTTAATTCTGAACGCAGCTATATCCCCAGTTATAAGAGGGTGTGCACACTTATGCAACCGCATTATTTTAGTTTTTTTAATGTTTACTTCCCCCTCCCCCAAAAGATTTCAGTTTGTTTTTCAATTGAATTGTACAGTTTATAGGTCTCATTAAAGGTGGAAAAAGTTCTGAAATGATTTATCTTTGCCTAATTTTTTTTACAGCACTGAAACCTGACATTTTAACAGGGGTGTGTAGACTTTTTATATCCACTGTACTTATGAACTGAGATGAGAGACATCCCACACTGAGATTCTCCATGAATGTTCTAGGCCTAATGGTAATTGTCTTTGAGGCAATACAATTTCACCAATTCTGTTTAAGAATTCTCAAACAAAAGAAAATAGGCATTGATGGAAGCCACTTTTCCCATCAACATCTTTGAGCTCAGAGCAGTCATACTGGCTCTGCAGCACAATTCCTGTACTCCAAAGAAAATCTGTGTACATTGTCTGAACGTAGTCAGAGCCCCTAAAGTATACCTCAAGATGGTGCTCAAATCAGACAGATGGATTCCCTATTTATCTTGGAAACAGGGTGTCCCTTGTGAGGTCCTGAGAAAAGTCCACCGTTGCACTGTGGATACAAAATCTGATTGCAAGAGCTTACATTCTCAGAGAGAAATCTCCTTCTGTGCTGTTATGCGCCCATTCCACCAGATCATTAGTAGTTTAATGGGCATTTCAGCATCAAGCTGCTGTAGCACAGTTGTGTAAGGCTGCTACCTATTTTTCTGTTCATAAAGTTTTACCAGGTGGATGTCCAATATTTTTGGCTGCAGAGCTCTCGTGGCGGCTCTCTAGCAGTGAATCTTATGACCTTCATTGGGCCTGTTAGCACAGTTCTGTTTGTCTTGTTGTTGCCCTCCTTTCTAATTCATTACTTGGGGCATTCCATGTTGTATGAACACTGTCTTGTACTATACAATTAAGATAAGAATTTTGGCTCCTCTGTTAATGTCCATATCTTGGCATACTGCACAGGATACCCCCCTTCCATTCCTTTGTTTGCACTTCATTGCTTACTACAAAACTGAGAATGCATGGAGTGGGTGGGAGGCACCCAGGGTGCATGTCCTTCTTAAGGTTTGCCAGTGTCCAGTCACCTGAAGGTACACTATAACCCATGGCATATGAATACATTTCCTGTGTTCTGTACTGTACTCCAAGATATAGAATTTGTAGGGAAGTCAAAATATTTTTTTGTTACAACGTGCATTTTTATGCCAATTCTCTTTGTGTGTTTTAATTCTAATATTAGGAATGAAATGGAGAGACACTTCCTTGAGCTGCTGCAGTTCAATATTAATGTCCCTGCCAGTGTATATGCCAAATACTACTTTGACCTGCGATCTCTAGCAGATGATAACAACCTTAGTTTTCTTCTGGAACCCCTCAGTAAGGAAAGGGCACAGAAACTAGAGGTAAAATCTGGTTCGATTTGCTTTTTTTTTTTTTTTTTTTTTTTGTGTATAAATTGATATTCAGTACCTATTGTGTTAATTGCAAAAATAATTTTTTTTTATAATATAGCTTTTCTATCACTGCACAGACTGTTTTTCATTAAAAACCTATTTATTAAACTGTGCACCCTAAGAGTGTTGTATTTGTTTTACTTAGGCTATCTCCAGGCTGTGTGAAGATAAGTACAAAGACCTATCTAAAGCTGCGATGAGGAGGTCCATCAGTGCTGACAACCTAGTGGGAATTCGGCGTTCTAATGCCATCATTTCTTGATGCAAGATCTACAGGAATGAGGCACAGCTACAACACTATTGGTGTGCAACATGAACTGCAGGCACCACCAAGCTTCCCACACTCTTCTGTACACTATATTGAGCCAGCAGTGTCTTCCAGCACAAGGGTTGTGGGGGGGCAAGAGAAATTGAATCCAGGGACGCTCAAGCCCTTTTTGAAAACTAAGGAGCATACACCATGGGAACACAGAAGAGGTTCTAGTAAAGAGCGGCACAGCTGCTTTACATGGAATAACAAATGGTGTATCAAAAGTGAAATCCTTTTCTCGGACATCCCTCAACCACCTACATTTGTATGCTTACTGTGTAGGCCTATAGCTGTGACCGATACTTTTTAACACTATATAGATTGACGTTTAGGCGCTAAAACACTAATTGTGTATTATTTTTTTTTTTTATTGTCATTTTTTGTCCTATTGCCCTCTTTTATTTTCTATTAATTTTGGCTTCAGTTGTACATGATGTTTTAATATGTATCTTTCTAAACCATGCAAAGCCATAGATGAGCAAATAAAAAGAAGCTCAGTCGTAGGGGAAAAAAGTTATTTATTTTTTCCTTTTTATGCTGGGAAGATTCAGGATGTGTTTGTAATCAATCTGGCTATTTCTCTGTGCAATGTTTCAACTTTCAGCAATCTACCAGCACAACCACCAGAATGGTTTGGTTAGTATGGTAACTGTCCAAAGAAGAATGTGTTTGGTAATTTTTTTTTGTTTTTTTTTTAATGGGAACTGGCTTGTACTACTGTATCTAATGGTGCTCCCCCCATAAAGTATGCATTATAAGACACTGCAAAACAAAATAAACTTTGGACTTTTAAAATTTTACACCACTTGCTCATCTCTCAGTGATGTAAAGATGTATTTTGTGCACTACCTGCTGCTATTCAATGGTCCTTTTAAGTGCTGTCTTCTCTTGAACTGAAATTTGACTTACCATAAGCAGTTTTTTCATATCTATGGAAGATACAAATAGCCCTGTTGTACTTTAACTAATCCATACAGCATATCCTCTGTTGTGTATAAACGTGGAAGTCTTACTGTGATCATTTCAGACACTGAGACATGACACCCTACTTTAGCTTCATGATCAGTAGTATGTATCATGGTTGGTCCATACCAAATTCAGGCAGGACTACAGATATGCCAGAAGGACACAATCTAACTCCTGATAATAAAGCCAAGAAATAAATTAGTTCGTTGAGCTGATCATCATCGACTGTTAAACTACTTATACAGGGGAGGTTATTTTGTGTAATTCAACAAAGCTCTTTTGCTTGGCTTTTCTCCAAGCAGTCTCTATTCTAAAGCCTTTTTGTATGTACTGATAATATGCAGTGAAAGGATCAATCCAGCAACATGTGTATTTATTAAAAGTTCTGTTTATAGTTTTTGTTTTCTCCCCTAACCATATTTTTGTTTTATGTTACACTCCATAACTTATAGTATTGAAAATGTGACTAACAGTCTCCTGAGCAACACTCCATTAAAGCTTAACTCGAAGCAGACTTTTTTTTTTCTTTGCATGTGCATGTTGGTCCTTTCTTACTTTTTACAAATAAGTTCTCTGTTCCATGCACAGATATAGTGAGTGTGTGAAGCTCATTTTCTTTCCTGATGTATATGCCTTAGTCTCCCTCACATTTATTTATAGGGCCAGGGACTGATATGCCCTCTTTTCCTCCTTGGCCCACCAGTCTTGTCACTTCCATCCTATAGCCCTATTTACAGTCCGCAATCTGGGAGCCTCAGACTCCTGTTCTGAACCACCCACTGAAACAGCCTCGATTGATTGACAAGCCAGGAGACTCCTGGTCTGTCCACCTCCACTGACATCACAATTTTACTGACAGGCCAGGAGTCTCCTTGTCTCTCATACCCCTCTACACCTGTGATTGGTGCCCATTCATTACATCCCCATGACATCATGGGAACTGTAGGTCCTACAAGTAGAAGGAAAGAGGATGTTAGTCTTCCCTGCATTATACCTCCCATGGTTACCCAGCTAAAGCTGTTTTTTTATGAATTGTAGAGATGGTTAACAGCGGAACTGTAAGGTATTTTAAGAACTTTATAGCAGCTTTTATATTTAGAGACCTGAGACTAATGTGTGATTTTTATTTACATCCTGGAGTTCATCTTCAACTATGTTTTTGACTCAACATCCCATTATTGCACATAGCCTAAAACTTTCAGAAATATCAAAGCCTTATTTACCTTGAAATAATTTTCTATAATTTGTGTTCTTCCTGATATGTATGTTTGTTTTTTTTCTTACCACACAACCAGTATTTTAAAAAATTGAAAGCTAATCATTAGTAGGAGTGCTTGCAAAGTCCCGAAAAAAATAAATTTTAAATATGTATTATCCCAAGGAAAAGTTTATTCAACTCCTACCCCCCAGCATTTCTTCATACATATCCCACTGTACCAAATATCCAAAACCTTCCACGTAGCATGTTATAGGGCAAGCTTAAACTGCTTTGGATGGTGATCAAAGAATTTGAAGTCAATAACCCACATGCAAGAAGGTGCAGCTGTTTTAATGAATGTATGTTTTTGTGTTAAGGAAATGTATTTGATCATTGTAGTTGAGATCTATGGTTATGAAATTTAACTCAAAAGCTACCCTGTCACCGAAGTAATTTTTAAATCTGAGGAACTGTTGTTCATACACTTTTGAGTCTTGATATAGTTACCACACAGCTGTGTTTGCTACAGAAGTGATTCTGAATTCATACCTCTGGGGTTTTTTTTATGGTAATACTGTGTGTTTTAGGCACATTTTATGTTCATTACAATTCATTCTGTCCTGGAAACCATACCAAAGATCCAGCAAGCAAGTAATTTTTTTTTTAACATTGCAGTAAAACAAGTGTGAATGTTGCCTAATGGTCAAATAAAGTGTTACTAAGCCCACAACAGTAAAATCAGTCTGTATATGCAGTAGAACATGCTTGATATACACACTGTGGAACGTAAGGGGTTAATCCTCTGCATTATGTAAAAAGGCAGTTAGATCAGTTCTTCTCTGCCCCTCTTCTTGTTCAAATGTCCATGTCTTATCTCCTGATAAGACAGACTGAACCCATAGCCACATGCACATGCTCAGTTTAGTGTGTATTGTTAGAGGTTTTTTTTTTTCTTGGGTGAGTGCATGTGATCAGCACAGGGCCAATCAGCACTATCCAGACAGAGGTCAGTGGTTTTGCATCCTCCTAGAGCTGGAAGAAAACTCCTCTTATAAGCTTTAACCAGTGCTCTGCTGAAGTCACAAGACTGCTCTAACTGCTGATGAGAAAAGGTATTTAGCAGTTTATATTTACTAAAATAATTGCATTGCATTCCATGTTGTGTGTACTGTGGGAGACCAGATATAGTGAATGCAGGGTCCTGGATTTAGTAACACTTTAAAAGAGAACTTTTTTACTATTAAAAAAAAAATGCAAACCATACAAGATTAGAAGTTTGAAATAAGCAAATCCAGTCTGGTTTTATTCTTGTTTCCTTCCAGTTTCTGATATAAGAGCTCAGAATATACAAATTTGAGGCTTTCTTGATCGCAGTATCTGAGTGCCTTATGTTTGCGTCCTTTCTCAGTTCACATAGACGCAGCCATGTTTGTTTGACCAAGTACATACAAGTAAATACTAATGGGAAGAGCAGTGGAAAACCAAAACATGATACCAGTTGTATATATTTTTGTCTGCCACGGAATATACAATACCACAAGATCCCAAGTGAGTGGACATATTTTTTTTCTATTTAGGAAATCATATTTAATTGCACCCTAATAAATTATTTTGGATTCCTGCACACATGGGGGGAGTGCAGCAATGCCCTGATTGTACACTGCAACAGTATATACATTGATCACCCTGTGTGGTAAGTTAACCAAGACCTAAAAGTGTACAGCCACAGTCTGTGACCTAATGTGAATTCTGTTCAAGTACTTTTTGATTAATTTATGCAACCCATATTTGATATGCCAGTTTAGGCTTGATGATGTAGATGTGAAACTTTAAAACTGTTACATTTAAAACTGCACATTAAATATATTCTGCAGTACCAAGCATGTAAGGTTTCACTGTCTCTGCATAATAGCACATGCCAGTTTTATATGGTTGGCTTTTTAAATAAAGCACTGCTTCTTTTTTTTAACAGTCTTCAGACATACAATTGTTGGGTGACAGAGTTCCTTGAAAAGGTGATCTTCTAAAAGATCAGTAGAGGAAATTAAGCTTTTTAGTGTGCAACTTCTTGGTGTTTTATCATTTCTGTTTTGATCGAAAATAGCAAAAATGCAATAAAATCGGGGTCAGATCTGTGGCAGTTTGAAAAAGATAAACTGTGTAACAGAAACTAACTGTTATGGCTGTTATGTTTTTTTTAATTCCAGTCACTTGGACACTAGAGGCACACTGCACTGCAGCTTCTTTTTTCACAGGGACTCCCAAAAGAAAATTGGTTGACTGCAGGTATATCTTAAACTAATGTAACATTTCAGTTGGGTTTGCATTATGTTTATATTAAAATGAAATGCTAATATTAATAAACTCTATTTTAAGTAAATAGATTTGTCTTCTTTTGTCTCATATGAATTACACATTTTGTAGTTAGAGCTAAACTCTGGGAAACTGAAAAAAAAATATTATCCTTGCAGTGGGGCTACCTCTATACTGTAAGAGTTAAATGCTGGTTATTTCCCAAGGTACTAGGAAAAACATTTCTCTCTAAACCTTTTTCTCCCTCTCATCTGGCCGTCTGCACTCACCTCTTCTCCCTGATGCTCTGGGTCCTAGGGGTACTATTTGCACCTTCCCTTATAATGCAGATGACATCACAGCTCTGACTGCTGAATGGTCACTAAAGAGAAGAGGCTTGGGGGGACCAGACACATGAAAGAGAGCCTGTGGGAGGAAGGGATAAAATAAGTAGAAAATGCTTTGTACTGGTGTCCTAGGCAAAATAAGATTTTAA